AGGAGGAAGTACTGTTGAGGCAATCTGCAAGTTTTCTGGTAAAGGAGGAGGGGACGGTGGTGGTGGTGGAGCAGGCATGGAGAGTTGTCCCAAATTAGATTTTATGACACTAGGAATAATAGACATATCCGTACCTTTAGTGCTCTCAACAGATGACATGGAACTAACCTTGTTCTTTGTTATGAGTGATTTACTAGATCCAGGGGCCAGTAAAGTATGGTTATCTGTTTTTTCGTTATTTTCTATTTTTTCTCCAGGAAATTTTTTGTTGTCATTCAATATAATAGCAGATCCTGTACTAGCGTAAATATTTCCATTAAACTTATTATCTTTGGACTTGAATCCCAAAGATAAAATTGATGAAGAGTCCCAAGTTCTGATTATCAAATAAATTATTTGGTCTTGACGGAACATATTCAGAATTAGAGCCATTCGTCAAAATAGAATAAGGAAGTGATTCATTTGAAATTGTCCCATCATTAGGGTAATTAATACCGATCGAGCCAGTTTGAAAATCACCAAACTCTTGTGAATTTAAGAGAGAATTTGCAGAATGTACGAGGTTTTGATTTAACACTAACTCGTTTCCCGAAGAATATAGCTTGTTGTCATCATTGAAAAATGAATCACTACTTAAAGTATTCATATTGGATATATCACCAGGATAAATAGGATGTCCTGAATTAATGGAAGAGTTGTTTGTAATATTACCTCTTATACTGGAATTTGATAGAATTGATTTACTTCCAAAATCAGTACCATAATTTGAATTTGGGCTTGGATTCACATAAGATGATAAAGATGATATTCTTTTACTTTTCAGTAGTGACTTTGAGCTTGCCCTTTTCATTGGATTAACTTTGACGTTATTTTTTGCTTTCAAGTTTTCAAAAACATTTGAGTTCACTGATAATGTTGATGATGAACTTCTAGGAGTGCTATTGACATTTTTATGGGAAATGAGTCGATCAAACCTCTTTTTCTCAGACCTTCTCTGTTCATCTGATGACTCTAATCTCTTGTATGACTTCTTTAGTTCTAATTCGTTCTTTTCAATTTGAATATGGGCACTCTTTAGCTGTGCTATTAGTTCTCCCTTATCCAGTTGTCTCTCTTCTTTCAAAGAAGATATCTCTGACTGTAGGTTATCAATTATTTGTTCTAACGATTTCATTTCATTCATAGCCCTTCTTGCAATCTCATCTGATTGAAGTCTATCCATTAATTCGTTAATTGAGTTTTGTACTGTAGACTCTGGTGATAAAAGAGTGTCATTATCTTTATAAAAATGATCCAATAAATATCCTAGAGTAGACCCAAATGATTTGAATAGTTTCATCGATTCTGATTGTGTTCTTGAAGTCAATATTTTATTTAGAAAATTCAATAATTCACCAATGGGTTGTTCCAAGGGTGTCTTTTGTGATTGTGAAAGTAATAATTGAATTTCATTACCATATGATACATCAATGAACATCGAATTATTGTTCGATATCGATAATATTATATCTTGTTCGATTTTAGAATAAATAGAGATTTGTTCTTTTATTACTGTTGAAGCTAAATCTTTCAGAAGATGAAATATGTGATGAATACCAAATTCTTTCAAATTTTCTATAAGTTTATATTTCCTTTCAAAATTTGGTACAACTTGTAAAATTGAATTGATTAAAAATAAGCAAGTTGTTAAATATTCTTCAATTAATTTGTCAAATCCTATTAATTTTATGTAATGATTTTCTGAATTTTTATTTTCTATCAGATCTTCAGGATTTGTTAGATACGCTGTCATTCCTTTCAGCCATTGGTTAAAATGTGGCGATAAGCTTGTCAATACAGTTTCGTAACCTAATTTATTATCGATGTAAGTTAATAACAATAAAAGTTCTGTGGCTAATAATTTAATTTTAATGGAGGTTGCGTCAGATGATATTAGAGAAACGAAGTAGTCGATTAATTTTTCATTTTGTAAGACCAACAATCTACCTTCATCAAAGTTCAGTACCCTTTTAAAACAATTCAGATAGACATATTGGTTTTCTTTTGTGATTCTTTCATTTATCAATGAGAGGTAATGAATATTTTTTTGATTGATAAAGGACTGACAAAATGAACTTTGTCTTAACCATTTTTCTAGTTTGTATAGGTTTTTATTAAATACTGTACTGTCCTCGAAAAATGACAAATTTTTCAAGTCTAAATTGAATTGTATTGAATCGAATGAATTATCGATGTTTGATAAATCTAGCTCCAATTCTGAGTCATTCACATTGTTGGAACTGTTATTGTTGTCATCATTGGTATCGTTATTTTCCAATTCCAAATAATTCGAATATTTCATTTTACATATTAATGCCCATTTCCTTCTTGTTGAAATATTTGCAAATGCTTGTGAATTTAAGTTCCAAAAATATGAACCATCTTTTAATAAATTTTGAAATAAATCATCAATTAACTTTTCATCATCAGGTATTTCATTCGGGTTAAATTCTATAAAATTTTTGTTATTGTTACAATATTTATTATCCTTTGGTCTATATTTGTTTTCATTATTGCTGTCATCATCATCAGATGGTATTGTTATAATTTCTGAGTGATCACTTGTTGATAAACCAGCACCTGCAAGTGATAAACCTGTTAATACTAAATCATTTGTATTTTGATAACCATTTTTTCTAATCAATAGATCATCATTTGATTTTGACCTTTTTTTATAACCTTTTGAATCTAACCATTTAGAATTGTTTGTAAAAAGATGCTTCATTTCCCCTCATAAGATGTTATTAAATTTTTTATTAGAGTTATTCTTTTGGTCTGATTGGGTTAATTTCTATAAAAGGTGGTATTTCTAATTGCTCCGAAACTTATATTTTTGATCTTTAGTCTTTTTATTCAATATTTTTATTTCCATGCAGAATATATTAAAATTATGTGGCAAAATGCAATTTTTCTTATTATAGAATATAAGAATTTAATAACGTTAGGTTAATGTTACATTTCAAAAAATTCTTTTTGATCTAAACGCGTAACTTAAAATATTAGATATACGCAGAAGGGGATCGAAACAGGTTGTGTAGACGATACGCGTTATTGCTACGGCACACCACCCATCAAAATACATTGGCATCTGGTGCTAATTGGATTAGATCACCTCAAAAAAGAAACAGAAAAACACCATAGTCACGCGATAACCACGTGCAAAGTACCAAAATCAAAACTTCAGAAAAGAAAAGAAAAGCAAAACTAAAATGGATTGGAAAAATTATATCAAACAGTTATCAACACATACAATTATCACTCTATCTTCTCATATCAACCGTAAAGTCGTCCGTTACATCTTGATTTACTTGAACTGATCTAGTATGTACCCTTTCTATGCAAAGGGAGCAAATGGTTTGTGTGTACATGTCGACTGTATGTTTATTTATATACCTTGTATTTTTATTAATTTTTGTTTGTTTGTTTGTTTGTTTGCCATATAGATCTAATCTGCCACAAAAAAAACAACAAAGATAATCAGAACCATTCAAATAACCGCCATCACCAGACACGAAGTGTTCGTTTAAACAGGCTCATCCTTGTTTACATTTTAACGCTCCCCTGGACGAAGAAGTGTCAGTTGTCCTGTATCGTGTCTCTACTCTTTAAGTAAGTAAAAGTGCGCGTATATATATAAGTGTGTATGTGTATATATTTGTGACGCTTTCTTCTTATTTACTTCTACAAGTATCACGTGGAAAGCGCAAGTTCTACCGACGCGTTCTCACATGTCTGTTTCTTCCAAGATGCCTTCCCCTGCTGTCCGTTCTCACTTCCCAACTGCGAACAGCACCAAGAAACCACATATCCATAGCCATAGATCTCTTTAAATACGGCCAAGTAGCTAACCGATGATGATGATCATCAACTCAATGACCTCCAACTCTCTCAAACAGAGAGAGAGTTAGCCTAAACCCCGTCGTCGAGGTAATTATCACACTGCCAATGGTTAGTTGTAACATATACCTAGACAAAAAATGAATGACATGCTTACCATTACTCCGCTCTTGTTTACTACCCCGGTTTTCCGTTCTCGTTCTCGTTCTGGTTTCCGGACCTCCCCTTCGCCTTGCCTTCCCCCTTAATTTAATCAATGAAATAAAATTGGAGTAAAAAAAAAACAAAGAATCGGACGAATAATTAAAAATATCTACCACTCACCTCTCCGGAGTTAATACAGTTTTTCCCATCACCCCCAAAGAGCTAAATTAACCCAATGAATCAAATGAATCAAATACACACAAAACACACATGCATGAATGCACACACGGTTCCCTCTCTGTCTCTCGGAGTCAGCGGTTATACTTTTACTTCACTCTCCCATCAATCTCATCATTTAGGAGATACCTGAATATCAATCAATATTGTATGGTAGCATCGTCAGCATCGGCATCAGCATCAATAACATTAACATTAACAATACTGAAAAATTTGATAAAATTGTCATATGCTGGACCGATTAGAGAGCTTGTATTCATAATTGATTAATAACAAAAAAAAAAGAAGAAGAAGAAGAAGTCATCTCAAACAAACTTTTAACCTATTTCACTACCTCCCTTCCTAGCCCCCTTCCCCTCTCGTCTCCTTTTCTTTAATGGGAATATTAAAGATTTCTTGATTATATTATAAATTGACGATCACAAGTCGATAGATTAGAATCTGGAGACGTATATAAGTCAAGGAGGTTAAGTTTATAATTTATAATTTATAATTTATAATTTATTTTTTTGTTTTCATCTTATTATTGTTCTGTTCCTTTTCATTGTTGTCTTTTGAATCAAACACTTTTAAAGAAGATACTCTTGTGACTAAGTGTTATTGACCTACGTTTATCAAACACATACAAAGTTATTTTCTATATTGGAATTATTCTTCATTCTATTTGTTGTTTTTTTAGGGGAAAAGAAAAATAAGACTCACGGTAAAATTATTAAAACAAAAAAAAATCTATTATTATTAAAATGTCTCAAAGATTACAAAATATTGGTAATCATTTATCAGGTTCTAATGGTCAATCATGTCCAATTACTTCAAAAAGACCAGATGATATTGTAATTGTCTCGGCTAAAAGATCTGCTATTGCAAGAGGTTTTAAGGGTTCTTTTAAAGATGTCAACTCTGATTATTTATTAACCCAATTCTTAATCCAATTTTTTAATGATTTACCTCCAGAAATTAGAGAACATCAAGATTTAATCCAAGAAGTTACTTGTGGTAATGTCTTAAATCCAGGTGCTGGTGCAACTGAACATAGGGGTTCTTGTTTAGCTGCAGGTATCCCTTATTCTGTCCCATTCATGGCTTTAAATAGACAGTGTTCTTCTGGTCTAACTGCTGTTAATGATATCGCAAATAAAATCAAAACCGGTCAAATCGATATAGGTTTAGCTTTAGGTGTAGAGTCAATGACTAAAAATTATGCAGCTGTTAATCCATTGGGTAGAATCTCTGATGAGTTGAAGGCAAACAAAGAAGCAAGAAAATGTTTAATACCAATGGGTATAACAAATGAAAATGTTGCATCCAATTTTAGTATCACAAGACAAGATCAAGATAAGTTTGCTGCCAACTCCTATAACAAAGCTGAGAAGGCCGTTAAGACTGGTTTATTCAAAGATGAAATATTACCAATTCAATTACCAGATGGAAGAATTGTAGACACCGATGAAGGTCCACGTCCAAATGTCACTCCAGAAAGTCTATCAAAGATTAAACCTGCATTCATCAAAGATAAAGGTACTACCACTGCTGGTAACGCTTCCCAAGTTTCAGATGGTGTTGCTGGTGTCTTGTTGGCTCGTAGATCAGTTGCAGAAAAATTGAATCTACCAATTGTAGGTCGTTATTTAGCTTTCCAAGCTGTTGGTGTTCCACCCGAAATCATGGGTGTCGGTCCAGCTTATGCTATCCCAAGAGTGTTGCAAGATGTCGGCTTACAAGTAAAAGATATCGATATTTTTGAAATCAATGAAGCATTTGCTGCTCAAGCTCTTTATTGTATCCATAAGCTAGGCATAGATATAAATAAAGTTAATCCTCGTGGTGGTGCTATTGCTCTAGGTCATCCATTAGGTTGTACTGGTGCTCGTCAAATTGCCACTATTATGCGCGAATTACAACCAGGTCAAATCGGTGTCACTAGTATGTGTATTGGTACTGGTATGGGTGCAGCAGCAGTATTTGTCAAAGAGTGATTTGAAATTTAAATATTATTATTATATATTCATTATATGATTCATATTTTATTGTTAATAGTTCTATGAAATGAGATTTATGATTGACTATTCTCTATACTGATTTACTTTTCCTATAAATGCCCTAATTTAATTGTGAATAGAATTCTTTCTTAAGTTTGTCTATTTCATAAAATTCTTTCTTTAATAATATTTCTTTTTCCTGTATTAGGTAGTTCAACTGCTCTGCTAAAGTGTAGTTTTCCTTTTGCATAGTTTTCGCTTTATAATTGAAATTCTTAATAAATAGTTCCAACTTCCTTGTTTGATTATTATTCTGCTCTTTTAGACTTTTACGCAATGTCAACTTTAATGGAGATTCAGGATAATTATACGGTACGCATAGTCTAAAATCATCAGTTTTGAAAACGTCTTTGAAGGAAAAATTTCTCAAGCTAATGCCATATACTGAAACATATTTCCCATCATTAAATAAAACTAAGCTTTTTTCTCCAAATCTTTTCTTAAAGTCATCAATTTCTCTCTCTTTATTTTCATTTTTAACTACTGGTTTAATTCCCCCATTTTTATCACTTGAAATTGATTTAGCTTTTGTTCTCTTTGAATATCCTTGATTACCTTTTCTCTTGTCATTTAAACTCTTTGGGGAAATTTTATTATTTATTTTATTTGGTTTATCATCATTAGAAAGGTTGGTCTCTGGATTATTATTTATAGACTTCTTAGACTTTTTATTAGTCCCATTTTTAAAATTCTGCTTTCTATTAAGACTATTCTTTTTATTTGAAGGTTTCTTAGCAGTAGACCTCTCTATAGTTTGTACATCGCTATTCATGATTACAATATTTTGTTCTCGCTTATTTTGTTGTTGATATTCATCTTTTAGATTGATATTAGGACATTAAACCTTAAAAGTTTGACTGTTATTTCAATTAGCTCCACTCTTATTTTACAAAGCTTTTTTCAAGAATCTTAAACTCATCGGCTCGACAAATTCTAACGCCTAAAAAAAACAAGGCGGTGGCATGGTGATCCTCAAATACCAGATGGGTACAATTGCTAACCATAGTGTAATGTATTCTTATATTGATAAAGTTCCCCAACTACTCTTATCTGGAGTATTAGTGATGTATAACTTGATCAATTTAGTTACAGGCCCTGTTTTATAAAGAAATTTACTGAACTTAGAGTTAGTTATCTGGTGAATTTCTTGTTTAGTGATTTTTTTTCATTAATTCTAATTTTAAATGAAGTATAAGAAAGTTGACGTCAAATTTCCAGTCTCCATTGATACTATGTATATATATTCCTATTTCTTATATAAAGTATTCATATCTATATTCATTAAATATTTAAAATAGGGCCCTTTATAGTTTAGATTTATAATTGTGCTTCGTTTTTAAGAATTTGTTCGGCAGTGTCATAAATAGTTTCTTCCAAAGTTCTTAGTTTGAAGCCAAGTAAGTTTTTAGTAACATCACTGTTGACATTATTAAAGAAGGTTGCCTTTTGAATATCAGTATTAGAATTACTTTTTGGAATTGATCCCTTCAACTTAGGGAATTTATCGTTTAAAATATTAACAATATCTTGCTTAGTGAATGGACCATTTTGCATCAATAACCTCTTGCCAATCAATTTATCTTCTTGCATGGCTAAAATGTGAGCCTTAGCTACGTCACGAACATCAATGTATTCACCGTCACGGGTAGTTGTGACTTCATCGGTTGGTTTAGCATGAATCATTTGATTAACAAATTCGCAGGAAGTGTTCAATGTTCCCTTAGCATCTTCCAAGAATTTTTGTGGACCAAAGACGAAAACTGGGTTAACAGTAGACAACTTAAAAGAAACTTGGCCTTCATTTTCTTTTAAGAAATCCCAAGCAGTTTTTTCAGCAAATTTTTTAGAACCACAGTAAGCTTCAACAGCGTTTGCTTGAGCACCTTCCCATGTTACTGGATTCCAAGATTCTTCAGTGAAAATAGTTTTACCATCATTGTAAGTAGCGAAATCCATGATAGCAGCAAAAGAGGAAGTGACAACTACACGTTCGACTGTCTTTGCAGCATACTTCTTAATAGATTCCAAAATTCCCTTTGTACCGTTAGCAGCAGGGATTAACAAATCTTTTTCATATTCAGTAGTATTGAAATGGAAAGGGGAAGCGGTATGTAAAACATATTTGATATCTTTACCATGTTTTTGGAAGACAGCATCAAAAGCATCTAATTTGGAGATATCTTCGACAATTTCCATTTGAAAGTTTGGATTGTTACCAAACTGTTTGATTAATTTGTCAATTTTACCTTGTGATCTTGCAGTACCAATAACTTTGTAGTTTTGATCTAAGAGATCACCAACAATATGTTGGGCAATGAAACCAGTAGCACCAGAAATTAAAACACTCATTTTACCTCTTTTTATTTGTTAAGTTCTTTATTATTAACCTTTCTTTTTATTGATTATATTATTATTATCTTATAATCGTATAATTGGTGGTATTATATGAGTAAGAAAAAAAATTGTACAATTAAATTGAAACTCAAATGATAAAACTAAAAATCATTAAAACAATTAAACTCATCTATTTATATAATTCAATAAGTTCAGAAATTCTACAATGTCCAAATATATGGGAATTCGAGAGAAATATACACATACCGTACTAGCAGCATAATAATAATAACTATGAAAGATGGTATGATATGGTATGGTGATATGCATGATAGGGAAACAAGAAAGGGAATCCCATTGCTAATAGTAAGTAGTATCTACGGTCAAAAATAAAATAAAAAGAAAAACGTAAGAATTATTGTATTAAAGGGGTAACTCTCGGGCGAGAACTCGTTCAAGAAACAAAAAAATTTTTGGCAGCATCCTCTTGCTGTATTGAGTTAAAATCGGCAAATTCGTTTTGTATTATTAATTAGCAAAAAAAGAAGATGTGATTTTTTTGTTTTTATTTTAGTTCAAATTAAGCATCAAAAATGTGAGAAGAGACTTAAAAAAAAAGAAGGCTCGTCAATTTGCTAGAAAATACTTTACATTATTGAGAAGCTCGGGTCCGAGCCAATTTATGTCTATTTCCCGAAATTAACTTAGACAAGTTTCTACGTTAGAACTATTTTTTCAACCAACCTCTATATTTTTTTTCGCCTCCCCGCCGTCGGCTCGGCTCGGTTCGGTGTTCTTGAAATAGGTATTTATTTTATCTGAACGTACGTTGAATGTGTTTTTAATATGCTAAAACATATTTCCGCTAAGAAAACAATGCACTAAACAGACGAATTATGATAAAATTATTGTATAATTTGATTTCGAATAGTGGAAAAGATAACACTAAAGAAAAAATTAAGGAAATTCTTAAACTTAAAGTTATTCAATAAGTTTCAAGCTACTGGGTAATGTTGGATAGAATGAATAAATCACTTCTATTGTTTATTCGATTTCAACAAAAAAGATGACTTTAATGTATACCGTAAATGATATCCCTTCATATTAATATCCATGATGCCATTTTACCGTTATTATATAGATATTGCTTAGTTGTTTATTATCTGTCCCTATACACCTCGAGCAGTTGATTAAAATAAAAGTTTATTAGTTACATGAATATGGATATATATAGTATATGTTGAGATAATTGTACATGAAGTCATATATTTGTCATTGGTCTAATAATTGGTCTCATACGCAATTTGTTAATTGGTGTTTCTGCAGCGGTTTCGCAGAATAAAGGAATAGTTAGTCATAAAGCATTTAACATGTCAAACTAGTTGATTTATACTTCCATTTCTTTTTTCTCGTTTTTAGGTTCAACTTTGTCGAGAGCTACTGCATCTTCTAGACGCTGGTTACGTAGTAAAAAAGCACCACCTAATAATGGAACTAAAAAACAAAGACCAACTATTATTAATATTTTTTCAACATGCTTGTATGCATTTACCACTATTTGTCTCTCTGGTGATTCCCAATTGTACTGTAAGATGAACTTTGTTGGAGAATTATAAGCAAAGTTAGCTAAAGTAGAATTGTTTAAGCCTTTTTCGATTTTATCTGGTAAAACATTAGTCCAAATGGCACCGGCCACAGATGATCCTACAGATGTACCGATTGTACTAATGGCCATGAAGAGTGACGTAATGATAGCCATCATTTCATGAGTAAGAGCAGAAGCCTGCATAGATGCTTTAGTTGGATATTTAATAAACCCGTTACCAAAACCTAACAAACAAAGAGCTGCAATAATACCAGCATATGCGTTTGTCCCGCCAGTATATCTTTCTAATAACCCAAAAGAAAGGAACCAAACAGCAATTCCAAAGAAAATGAATTCCTTAGTTCTTCTAACTTTTACAATAACTAAACCTAATAAGGTTCCACTTAGTGCAGTTACGAATGTAAAAAGGGAGTTTATTCTTGTTGCTGATTTTTTTGTTTGATTAACAGCAACAAGAAGAATGGTATACATGTATGTTTTTTGCATGTAAAATGCGGTCTGTAGGAAAATAGCAATTATAAGAGCGGAAAAAACACCTCTGTCCTTGACAGTTTTCCATGGTGTTAATGGATATTTTGCAAATTTAATTTCCCAGGTTAGGAATGCTGGAAAAGCCACTACCCATCCTAAAACTTCAGGAACAATAATACGAGCTGTTTTCCATTTCTTATTAAGACCACCAGCTAAAGTGAATGGGACTAGTACCAAACCAAAGAATGCTACTGCCAATAATAATCCTATAAAATCCAATTTCCATAAGAATATTTCAGTCAAATATTGTTTCCAAGTAATATCTTCTGGCTTATCGAATGAAGATTTTAAGGTATCATTGTTTTTCCTAGCCAAATATTTCATGTGTAGCAGAAGTATACCGAATGGTATACATGACAATGGGAATATAAATGCCCACATACCTATGCCCCACTTCCAATTTTCGTCCACAGCTGATGCAATATCACCACTAACCCAGGTGTTAATAACATTTGGCAAAACAGGGAATGCAACTGCCGTGACTCTCCAATTTAGATTAGAAAAATCTGAAACTAAAATTTGGACCATCATTACAACACCATCGTATCCTAATTGGAATAGACATGCGCCTGCTGCAAACTTAGAAACGTCAACGGCTTGCGATTCGACAATTGTACCTACAACATAAAACATTACAGCTACTATTAAAATTGTTCCTCTTCCAAACAAGTCAGAAGCTCTTGCAAACCAAATTTGACCAGCTGCAGATATAACACTCTTGATTGCATTGACGGTGGATAATAATGAGTGTTGTTTATATGAAGAAGTTGCCAATGTTTGATATGGAGAACGTAACTTGTTGTCTAAACCGTAGGCATAGCAGATGAAAAATAGACATAAAAAGACTATTGATCTCCTTGTAGGTGATGAATAATATTTAGCATAAACCTCCGAATTGTAAACACCTGCACTTTCTTCCAAGTGTGGTTCTTTCTCACCATTTAAACTATTTGTTGTAATTGAACTAACAGTTATATTAGACGAAAATTCTTCAGAATGAATAGTTTCATTCTGTTTAATATTCTCATCCTTATCTGTAATCATAGCTATGGAGTAATTTATCTTTGAATTTTAGTATAGTTATATTCAAGGCGATCAGACCAGACGCAATTGATACAAGGCAAAAAGTTCCAAGAATTAGATTCCTACTAATTCTATTCAGTTGAATATTCTACTGATTTACCTTTATATAACTAAATTTAATGAATATATGACTTCCTAAAAAGAATTCTTTTCGAATTGCACTGAATTAATTCATTATATATAAAGCTATAACCACACCCATAAATATGAAATAAGGTGTAATATTAGTTATGGTCTGTTGGAGGTTGATATCCAATTTTTCTTATCTCACTGTTTATATCCGTCATTGCATCTACTAATAATAAATATTTCGAAGTGTAAAAAATTGCCGAAAACTTAATTTTAATTCGATGCGGCTAAATCTCGAACCATCAAAATGATCGCACTTTCTTCGATGGTCTCTGGATCTGGAAGAAATCTCAAAAAAAGAAAATGAACTATCGATTTTAGAAACCAAAGGAGCGATAAAGGTGCATTTATTGGAATTTGTCGTTAAAAAAGAACTGACGATAGGATAACTTGGAAATTAAAGTAAGAGATCTATCCAGGTACAATAGAGGCAGTTTGCAAAATATACTTTAGAGGTTTCGGCCCTAGTATAATAATGGAGATGAATTATTTATTGGTTCTAACTTTTTTTTTCTTTCTAAATATTTTGAGCTATTATCCAAGTTTGAATAAAAGCCCAGCACTTGAAGGGCAAGGAGAGGCATCTGGTGGACCTGGGTACAAGGAAAGGGTGTAAATAGATAAATATCAGTCTAATAGGTTCAAAAAGGAGTTCTTGTAGTTTTTTTATGATAAAATGGAATGATAGTGTTTATTTTATTTAAGCTATAAAAAACAGGTGTAATATATACGCTTGTATATGTCTACTGATTACGAGAGCTTAAAAGGTGTCGAGTAGCTTAGAAGTTAATTTTCCTGAAGTTTGGTACATGTGGCTCTATGTTCGAACGAAATTAATATATATATATATATATATTAACCCCCTTATTAAGAAGGTAGCTCTTACATTTTGTTCGGTATTATTTACCATTTGTTAATAGTAAATGAAAGTAGTTTCTTATTCTTATTGCTATATCAGTTATAATCAATTTTATAGAATTAAGATATTAAAAATTAATTTTCTGAGATCTACTTATCTGCTCATTTGAATGGTGGAGTTCATTAGAATAATTGAACTATTATGAGTCTAAATTAGTATTATTATCACTCTCTGTCGGATACGTCTTGAAGTAAACTTTAATCATTACATAATTAACAAAATCTTACTTTTTTTAAAAATAAAACAAGGAAATATTAGTGTTTAAGAAATAATTAATTATAATAATCGATATTTAGTATTGTCACAATAAATTTTATTGAATTCTAAGTACAGGAAACCGAGTTGGCATTGTTACTATATTAGGTGTAATGTTAAGAACACCTCGGATGTTACTTTAGTGTATATAAGCATGATAATTAAGGACAAAATGTTCTAGATTAATTTTGTACCTTATACTTTGATCCATATTTAGTCAATGCTTATGATTTTCTCTTCTAATTATCCTAGACGGAATTGATAAATATTTTTTCATCAAAAATTTGAGCTTTAATCATATTGACTAAAATATAGATAGGTGCTATCGTTGCATGTGTATCAATAATTATTGATGAATAACCTGTAGTTTAAACTTTTTCTTTTTCTTTTTCTTTGCTAGTCTCCTCCAAAACACTGTCTTCAGCGTTTTCGCTATTCATTTTATCAAATTTATCGAACGAGACAACATCTTCTAATCTTCTGTTTTTCAAAAAGAAGGCACTAATAAGTAATGGCACCAATAAACAAATACCAACGATATTCAACAGTCTACCTATAACCTTGTAAGCTTCAACAACAGCTTGTCTTTCTGGTGTGTCCCATTTGTATTTAAGTATGAATTTAGTTGGCGAACCGTACGCATAGTCAGCTAACGTTTCATTGGTAATACCTTCTGAAATTTTACCCGGTAATACATTTGTCCAAATGGACCCTGCTACTGCATCACCAAAAGCAGAACCAATACTGCTAACCGCTAAAAACAAGGATGTCATAACGGCCATCATCTCATGACTGTAAGCAGAAGCTTGAATAGAGGCTCTAGCTGGAAATTTCAGGAAACCATTACCAAAACCTAATATACAACGAGCTACAATTATACCAACGTGGGAATCTAACCCCCCTGTATATCTAATCATTAGACCAAACGATATAAACCAAACACCAATACCGAAGAAAATAAATTCTTTAGTTCTTCTCACCTTAGCTACAACAAATCCAGAAAGGAATCCTGTAATGACAGAAACAAATGAGAATAATTTATTGATTCTAGTAGCAGATTTTTTACTTTCGTCGACGGCAACTAGCAGAACTGTATACAGATAAGTACTCTGCATTTGATATGCAAATTGCAAAAATAAAACTAGTACTAAAGCAGATACAATCCCTCTGTTTTTTAACGCATCTTTTGGAGTTAATGGATAGCGGGCAAATTTTATTTCCCATACCAAGAATAATGGCAAAGCAAATGCCCAACCTAATACTTCAGGAACAATTATACGGGCTGTTGACCATACTTTTTCTTCACCACCAGCTAAAGTAAATGGGATTAAAATCATACCAAATATCGCAACTAAAAGTAACAACCCTACTAGATCCAACTTCCAAAAAAAGACATCAACCAAATATTGAGACCAAGTATAATGTTCTGGTTTTTTAAAGGCGACTTTTAAATCGTCTTTATTTTTCTTTGCCAAGTATTTCATATGTAGAATACAAGCACCCATAGGTATACAAGATAGAGGGAAAATGAAAGCCCACATTCCGATACCCCATTTCCAATTTTCGTCGATTGCTGCGGTAATATCACCACTGATCCAAGTATTAATAACGTTTGGTAACAAAGGAGCAGCCGCGGCAGTTACTCTCCAATTCAAATTTGAGAAATCTGCTACATAAACTTCAGAGAAAAGCACAATAGCTGAATGACCTACTGCATATAGACATGCACCAGCAGCAAATTTCGAAACGTCCACGGCTTGAGATTCGACGACAGTACCTACAACATAAAAAACAATTGAAATCATTAAAATTGTGGTTCTTCCAAACATATCAGCGGATCTTGCAAACCAAATTTGAGCAGCAGCTGAAATAACTGCTTTAATGCATGACACAGTTGATAGTAATGAATGTTGATTATATGAAGAGGTAGCTAAAGTTTGATAAGTACCACGAACGGAGTTATCTAGACCATATGCATATGCAATTGTGAATAATGAGAAAAAAATGAGGAATCGTTTGACCGGAGTGGAATAATATTTGGCATAAATTTCAACATTATGAACACCAAATTTGTCAGATTCTGCATCTGAATGAGAAGATATATGATCACTTTCAGAAGTCGAGGAAGGAAGTTCCTCAGAATATTCGAATTCGGTATTTTCTTTTTGATTATGTTTGATATTTATTTCCATAGCTAAAAATTTCTTATTCTTGTCTATTTTATTTCTTACTACCAGTAGTATTTAAAATGTGAATGGATGGTTTTAATAATGAATGTTTTCTTAAACAAATGATGACTATAATTATTCGGGTTTCAAATCGAGCTGATTGGGTTGATATTTATATAAGATTGAATCGTTTCAATTACAATCTTAAATTATAGAAGATACTGAAATGGATTTATATGGTGTACATTTACTTGCACCTAAAAAGTTGGTTTTAGGATGCCTTTAACGAAATGATCCAATATATTATTCTAATAAAAAGGGTGAAAGATATAATATTTTCTAAAGTCTTCAATGATTTAAAATCTTGCAAGGAAGATTTATAAAATGGAGCCAGATGTTATGTTCTTTATCCATATGGTAGGTTAGAGAATAATAAGAAAAGAATTTTTAAAAAAATGGTCTAATAGCAAGTGTTAACAACTATATACTAAAAATCAATCATCACCACTATTGGCCTATTATACTGGTTCTTATTATTTAGCTAATCTGCTCTCTCCCTGTCTCTATTTGTCTTTAAGAATAAATCTTTAACTAAATAAATCTTTAACTAAATAAATCCCAACTTCTATCGATGGCATACATATAGATGTGGGATAGGTTCTCCATGGTGAAACTCTTCGAAACCAAGAAATTCTAGGAGATGGCTGATATTGATGAAATTTAAATATGCAGGTGCAATTCGAATCATCTCTTAGAGCTCGACGCACAACAAATTCTAATCCACCTTTTTTTTGCCTGTTTTTTTCTCACGTATTTTTTTTTAGTTTCCCGATCAACAAACAACAGTTTCGAATTCGACTTTGCACACTAAATTACCAAATAAAAAGAAAGTCCCAAATTTGTCATGGGAAATTCGTTAATACAGAAAATTGGACAGTTAGTTGGTCGGTTTAACGATTTTTTAAAATTATTTTTGAGATCCTTACACTAACTAACTTGATATTTTTGAAGCAAGATATGGATGAAGATGGAGATAAATAAAGGTGCAAGATTATGAAATAACTGGTTTCCCTTGAGATTTGGAGGACGAATGGGTACGTTATATACATTTCAAATGTATATAACGTCCTTTTTCCTTTTATATTTCATCCATAAACGAAAATTAGATTAGAGTTGGCCAAGACTAATTATAATAACTTATTCTCACCTTTATTATACTATAGGGCATGGGTTTGTGTGTTGGGTGTATTATTTGAAATTTCATTGCTCTACATTCACTCGATACCAAAAAAAAAACAAATTAGGCTGTAATTTTATTTCAGCCATCCTTCTTAAATTGAATATTTGTGCCATTTTCTTTTTTTTTCCTTTTTTTGGATGATCTTAAGTTACTCCCTACTCTGTAAACTTGATCTTTCGATTTGAAAGCTCTATGTAGGAGACTATTGTTATTGTTATTATTGTAAAAAAAAATTAAAGATTTTGGTTTATTATTAGTGTGTTTTTGCTACCCAACTATGGCAAGAAATAAACAAAAATACTGGTGCATATCATTTGTGTATCTGAAAGGAAGTCAAAATTGAAACGTTACAAGGGATGGCATTGAATGCAATTAAACATTAAAAATTCAAATTAAATGGGAATGAAAAGCATTTGGTGGTTATTCGAAATTGTAAAATAAAACATTTCCCCCATTGTGCAAAGATATAAAGAAAAACAAAGAATATACTATGCTACAATAGATCACGAAAGGTTTCGTGCTATTGAAGATGTATTCCTTTCTTATTGTTTTAACGTGTGCTCAGGTTAAAATAGCCAGTTGTTTGAAATCTACTTGCATTCAACAATGATTGTATTATTTATATTATTAAATTCGTGAAATATCCCAATTTATTGAACAATATGTTTTTTAAATTCCACAAAAACAAAACAAAAAAAAAAAAAAGAAAGTCAACCACAAAAATTTTATTCATCAAAACATAGAAAGTTTGTTGGTGTGGTGCAGTCGCTACTAATTTCCAAAAAATAATAAGAAAAAAAATAACAAAGATAAATCTAATTTGAATTTGCGTTTTTATTTTTTCTCTCAACTAGCAACACATTTCTTTTCTTACCCCACTTTTTTTTTGGTCATTAAACCAATATTGCCCAAACCCGTTTGTTTTGTTTTGTTGTCTTATGATTTGCTCTTTTGCATAGCAGCGTTATGGAGATATACGGTCGTTATTGACTTAAAGGAAAACTCCGGGATCGTGCAGTTTCATATCCTCCACAATGATTTTTTTATTTGCCCTATTACTATACTAGTTGATAATTGGTGGTTGTGTAGATCTCGATGGACATATGCATGTGAAGCAAAATTGAATTTGTGTGTGTTTGGTAAGAAAAACAAGATCAAGAAGCAAAGGCAGAGGAAATTTAGGGATGATCTGGAGAACTTGGCAGATCTTTGTGTCTTTGTTAGTTTGTTTTTCCTAATACCACAAAAACAAGAAAAGAAAATTATACTGGCAAGCAGCAGTCCCTTTGTTACTCCAATCTCTTTATACATAAATGTACACACAACCGCACCCTCACATTCGCCCTGTGTTATTACTGCTTTCATTGATCACTTAAGACCGGCTGTTCTCGTTCTTCTCGTTTTCTTAAAAAAAAATACCCCATACATTTTCAATATCCGTCACCTCGGCGGTTATTAGAAATTTGGACTTTCTCCAAAGAAGAAATCTCGTTTCAAACGCAAATTGTCGCCAAACTCTTCTCCTTTGTTTTTCATTCTCTCTATATATGATGATATGGTTAGAGAGATGACATTTTCTATTGAGAAAAAATTTATTTGGCTGGAATTTGAAAGGACAGAAAGAAGTGATCTGCATTAGTATTTTAGAAATTAAAGTAAATTAAAGTTAGTTGAATTGAATTGAATTGCTATTATGAGTATTATAAATGCAACTGGGAACGGTAGTGCTTCCTTCCTTGATAATTCCTTATTTCTGAAAAATGTACTTATGAGGTGTTCTTTTTGTTTCTGACCTTGCTCACTCAAGATTCTAATTCAAATACATTGGGTCTATATTGAAGAGGGAATCCTTTTCGAATCCTAGACTCTACTTCCTTCTGTTACAAATAGAAAAGGGAAAATCGGATATTAGCAATATAATCTGTTACTTTTCTCAGGTGATACCTAATCCACACGATAGGTTACCAAAATTTTGGTCAAGAAATAAATATTTGTATCTTATTAAAATAACATAATATTTTTCGAAGAAATTAAAAAAAAAATAGAATAGCAGAACGGGAAGAAATACTTTTTGTTTCGTTTCTTTATTGTAAAATCCAAATTAGGCTAAAATAGATAAAAAAATTTTAAAAAAAAATGAAATTATTGATTTTTTGTACTTTATCGATACTTTTCCAATATTTGACTTTAATCAAAGCTGATTCTACAACTTACATTAGTACTTACTGGACAGGTACTTTCGCTACAACATATTCTACTTCTTTTTCAAAGACAACTATTTTACTTATACCAACAACTACCACATATTACTATATTTACACTCCAAGAGGAACTATCTCTACTACTACCACAAACTTTAACTCTATAACTCCAACTTTAACCACTGTTATATCATTGACTACCACAGTTGGTATAGATGGCTATCAGACAGAAGCAACGTATACTGTAGTTTTTTACCCCATATATTCGACAGCGTCTACTACATCAGTAAGATCGACAGTAACAAATACTCAGCCCACGACCTTTTCTACAATAACATCAACCTATACAGGAACAGATGGTTCAATTACGACAGAAAAAATTTATGAAGTAGCAATACCTAATAATTTATATTTATCTACTTCAATAGATGGATGGACTGGTACGTACTCCACAACGTATTCCACAATATTAACGGTAACCACAGGAACCGACGGGTCGACAACAACGGGAACGGTATATTATGTTTATACTAGTCGAAACTCAGGTATATCAGTTACCGTACCATGGACAGGTAGTTATACGACGTATTATTCAACTTCAGTCTCATATAGCACAACTGTCATTCTCTTGATCACAACAATTAATACAAGAACATATTATTTTATCAATATTCCAGAGTATTTCTCTACTATCACGACTACCGTAGGTGCTTCAGTAGCTTCAACTTACACGGCAAGTACTCTATTTACCACCTTTACAGATATTAATGGGAATGTTACAACCGAGACAATATATGTTATTTATACTCCCACTTATAGAACAACTTCAACAATCACAACTAGAAGCAACATGGTAGGAACGTTGTCTTCGACGTATTCTACATTGGTTACGACAATTACAGATACTCTTGGGAACCAAACAACTGAAACAATTTACTTTGTAGCCATACCAGATGCATTGTTTATGACTACAACTACAGCACCATGGACTGGAGCATATACGTTAACTTATTCTAATAGTTTAACTACAACAACTGATACTGCTGGATTTCAAACAACTATTACAGTCTACTATGTTGAAACTCCATTGCCTTGGGGTTGGTATATTACTACACAATGGACAGGAACATATTCAACTTATTATCAAAGTGGAGTTACTCTAGCGTTTGGATTTTTAGGAAATCTTTGGGGTTTATGGTTATTCCCATTATACTACTTAGAAACGCCCACTAGGAACATCTCTTTTACAAGTACAACTCATCGTTGGACCTTGGCAACAACATCTACATCAATCTCACATGCTACATTTATTGGAAGTGATGGACAACAAACAACAGAAACAATTTATTTTGTATATACACCTGCTCCAACCACAACCACTACTGTATTTTCACAAGGGACTTTTTCTGGTTCAATTTTGGTTACTTATTCTACGCAGACTATTACTACAGGAGCGGCTGATAATCTTATTTATGAAGTGATTTATTATGTAGAATTACCCTATGCATATGTACCGACAAATTCTTCTTTCACTGTTAGTACAACTTCATTTGTTCCATGGACTGGGATTTTTTCCACAACAATTTCTACAAGTAAATATACGACATTGGATGAAATAAGTAGTACTTTAGGTAATTGGGTCATGGAAGTTGTCATAGTATATACACCAATTATAAATTCACAAAGCTCGTCCTTTACCTACTGGACAGATTCTACTACTAGTACTTTTTCAACACTAATTTTTATTACAACAGATAAAATGGGAATTGAAACTACTGAGACGTTATATTTTATTTATACACCCACAATGGTGATATATTCAACTAGATATTATCCATTATCAGGAATGGGTAGTACGACAACTATTTCAACCGAAGTGACGACATTTACTGGAATAAATGGGTGGGAAACCACAAAAACGATATATGATATTGCAGTTCCGACCAATGGTGGGCAAACCACGATCTTCACGTCATGGACAGGTACTTTTATTTCCATGTATTCTACATCAGTATCGATTGGTGTCTTGACAACAGTCACATATTACTACATTGAAACGCCTGTAAACACAGGGACCATATCATATATAGCATGGTACGGTACTTATACTTCTACTTTATTCACAATAACTTCCACTAGTTATGGATACTCAAGCACATTTCTAGGTGCTTGGACAATTTCTATATATATTGTTGAAACCCCTACCTTTTCTACAACCATTTCAACACTAACTCCATGGCTACTTTCTATCACTTCAACATACCTGACAATATTTATTACATTTACAGGAACCGATGGAAATGTTACGACAGAAAAAATATATTATATCTATACACCATATAGAGCAACAACGACAACGACGATATTATCTTGGACAGGGTCCTATACAACAACAGTATCAACTACAACTCAAATATTTACCGGCCCTGATGGTAACGAAACAACTATAACTACTTATATAATCGCAACCCCAACATTACCATCTGCATCCTCGTTGCCCTCCCCATACACTACCACTGTAACTAGTGGCACGCTGACCGAAACCGATGTGGTTTCGTTCTACACCACTACAGATTCTCTCGGAAACGTAGTCACGACGTCCACAACGTATGTTGTTTCTGCATCCTCGTTGCCCTCCCCATACACTACCACTGTAACTAGTGGCACGCTGACCGAAACCGATGTGGTTTCGTTCTACACCACTACAGATTCTCTCGGAAACGTAGTCACGACGTCCACAACGTATGTTGTTTCTGCATCCTCGTTGCCCTCCCCATACACTACCACTGTAACTAGTGGCACGCTGACCGAAACCGATGTGGTTTCGTTCTACACCACTACAGATTCTCTCGGAAACGTAGTCACGACGTCCACAACGTATGTTGTTTCTGCATCCTCGTTGCCCTCCCCATACACTACCACTGTAACTAGTGGCACGCTGACCGAAACCGATGTGGTTTCGTTCTACACCACTACAGATTCTCTCGGAAACGTAGTCACGACGTCCACAACGTATGTTGTTTCTGCATCCTCGTTGCCCTCCCCATACACTACCACTGTAACTAGTGGCACGCTGACCGAAACCGATGTGGTTTCGTTCTACACCACTACAGATTCTCTCGGAAACGTAGTCACGACGTCCACAACGTATGTTGTTTCTGCATCCTCGTTGCCCTCCCCATACACTACCACTGTAACTAGTGGCACGCTGACCGAAACCGATGTGGTTTCGTTCTACACCACTACAGATTCTCTCGGAAACGTAGTCACGACGTCCACAACGTATGTTGTTTCTGCATCCTCGTTGCCCTCCCCATACACTACCACTGTAACTAGTGGCACGCTGACCGAAACCGATGTGGTTTCGTTCTACACCACTACAGATTCTCTCGGAAACGTAGTCACGACGTCCACAACGTATGTTGTTTCTGCATCCTCGTTGCCCTCCCCATACACTACCACTGTAACTAGTGGCACGCTGACCGAAACCGATGTGATTTCGTTCTACACCACTACAGATTCTCTCGGAAACGTAGTCACGACGTCCACAACGTATGTTGTTTCTGCATCCTCGTTGCCCTCCCCATACACTACCACTGTAACTAGTGGCACGCTGACCGAAACCGATGTGGTTTCGTTCTACACCACTACAGATTCTCTCGGAAACGTAGTCACGACGTCCACAACGTATGTTGTTTCTGCATCCTCGTTGCCCTCCCCATACACTACCACTGTAACTAGTGGCACGCTGACCGAAACCGATGTGGTTTCGTTCTACACCACTACAGATTCTCTCGGAAACGTAGTCACGACGTCCACAACGTATGTTGTTTCTGCATCCTCGTTGCCCTCCCCATACACTACCACTGTAACTAGTGGCACGCTGACCGAAACCGATGTGATTTCGTTCTACACCACTACAGATTCTCTCGGAAACGTAGTCACGACGTCCACAACGTATGTTGTTTCTGCATCCTCGTTGCCCTCCCCATACACTACCACTGTAACTAGTGGCACGCTGACCGAAACCGATGTGGTTTCGTTCTACACCACTACAGATTCTCTCGGAAACGTAGTCACGACGTCCACAACGTATGTTGTTTCTGCATCCTCGTTGCCCTCCCCATACACTACCACTGTAACTAGTGGCACGCTGACCGAAACCGATGTGGTTTCGTTCTACACCACTACAGATTCTCTCGGAAACGTAGTCACGACGTCCACAACGTATGTTGTTTCTGCTTCCTCACCTTCATCTGCCGTCTCTACAGCTACAGCAACTACCACTACTACTGCTGCTGCTACTAATACTACAACTAATACTACAACAACAACTACAACTACAACTACAACTGCTACCACTTCTATTTCCATTTCCTCAATTGTTTCCGATTCTCCCACGACGACCACTACTACTACTACAGTAGTTTCTCCTACAATATCTATTTCACCAACAACTACTACCACTACCACTACAACAATAAGTACGACTACTACCAGCAGTACTACCACAGCTCTTTCTACTACTTCTGTTATTACAACTACTACGACAACAGCCACCACCTTGAGCTTAAGCACTACGACAGTTACATCTACTACTACAACGGGTTCTCAAAACTTTGCAGTGCCTTTATCCCAAGCGAGAAATTCTTTACAGGCACTCATTCCTTTAATTTTTATTAGTTTCTTTGTATAAGCTAGTACAATAAATCATAATGGCTATATAATTAAAAATAATTATTTTTGTTTTTTTCATCTGTAGATGTCTTATATGAATAGTTAGAAAAGGAGTGATACCAATAGAGATTCAGCTAAAGCTTATAATCTTCCATTCGATCTGTTCAAATAACACCATTTGTCTATAGAATTTATTGGTAGCTATTAAATTTATTTTTATGTACTATTTTAATTGAATTTTGAGGTACGATGACTTATGACATTTCTATTTTTAGGCGATCTTCTATTAGTAATTGATATTTTAAAATAAGCACCTCAATTAAATATTTAGGTGGAAAATACTATACTCTTATTGTATGTTATACCCTAGCTTCTTCTTGATAACCATTAATAAAATTGTTAAATTCTCATAATATTGGATTGTTATATTAACAACTCTTGGGATGTGCTTTATAATCCCCAACTTAACAAATGTATTATTTAGGTATGAATCCCATATAATCTTGAATTCAATTAGTATAAGAAAGACATTTGTTTTATAGACGATGAGATATATTTATCAGTTATAGTAATTGAGGGACAAATAATTTTGCAACTTACCACTATAACGCAAGTATATTATGGATTAATATTTCTCTTGAACCATTTCAAATTTATCATTTTCATAGATTTATTTAAACGGTTATTGTTACGGTTTTCATGGTATTGGTAGATGTATACTATTGTTCTGATGGTTGTTATTAAGTTATTCTATAATCAAAGTTAAAAGTTTTATATAGAATGATTTGTTTACAATGCAACCTAATATTCTTTTATGATTATAGTTAAAAAAAATATCATACTGGTTAAAGATATAAATTTAAAAATTTATTCTATTTATTCTATTTATTCTATTTATTCTATTTATTCTATTTATTCTATTTATTCTATTTATTCTATTTATTCTATTTATTCTATTTATTCTATTTATTCTATTTATTCTATTTATTCTATTTATTCTATTTATTCTATTTATTCTATTTATTCTATTTATTCTATTTATTCTATTTATTCTATTTATTCTATTTATTCTATTTATTCTATTTATTCTATTTATTCTATTTATTCTATTTATTCTATTTATTCTATTTATTCTATTTATTCTATTTATTCTATTTATTCTATTTATTCTATTTATTCTATTTATTCTATTTATTCTATTTATTCTATTTATTCTATTTATTCTATTTATTCTATTTATTCTATTTATTCTATTTATTCTATTTATTCTATTTATTCTATTTATTCTATTTATTTGAACTTAATTTGGTTTGTATTAATCACCATCTTCATTAAATTTAGAACTGAATGCACAGTTCTGGATATAAATCCTGAAATTGTTACTTATTAAATATACACATTGAATTTACGTGATAATACTTTTAAAATTTAATTTATGAAGCTTTAGATTTCTTATATTTAGAAATATGTAATACTATGGGACTTTAATGCATAAGGCTCAACTGACCATGGAAAATATGTGAAAAAGTCTCGTCTAAAAATAATGCCTGGGTATTGGTTTATATGGATATAGTAATTAAGATAAATTCAGATTATGTAATTTGTAGTATTCTATATGCTACACAAATAGTGTAGCATATAGAATAACAAGGAATTATTTTGACAAAATAACCGCTAGTATTTCATTAGTGACACAGATATCTTCTTTTGTTGCACTTAACTAGCGACCTTTACAGTTTTGCCATATTATCCGGTACCTAGGACTGTCATTATTGGTAATCAATGATATACACTTTCAATCAATAGATTATACCATTTTTTTAGTACTATAATTGTAAAGTTACTGTTCTTTGGTTTAAATTAGGTTAATTTATGAAAACATTACATTATTTCGTTAAATTACAATTTTAAAGCTTCATTATTAATATATAGTTTTATTATATATTTTTTCAAGGAAATAAAATAAATGATTTTTATGGATTTGATTTTGTAGACAGTATTTATAAAAATATAATCGGAAAAAAACATAAAATGAGATAATGAGAAATGATTTGTTAAATTAGATTTGACAATGTTGTATCTGATGAAGTATCCTATTAATATAATTTTATGGAATCACTATACTTTAAAGAGTGATCCTATGAATAATAAGAAAATAGAATATTGCCTGTTGAGCTAATTATGGTTGGTCATATACCTTGAAGAACACAAGCTAACAATGATTATGACATAACGAGATGGAAATTGCTATTATTGTAAATAAACCAATGTGTTTAGTAGAAAATATTTAACATCTAAATACTTCTATCCATTACTAGAAATAAAAGAGAGTGTGATATGATCCAATTAGTGATAATATCAACTAAGTGATGATATAGTGATGCAACAAATGCACAATATAACTTGAGATTCTATTATCTCAAATCGAAAATAACGATTATTATTAAACTGATTTTATTAAAAATCCAAATTTTTATTACGTTGTGTATTTTGGTTTATTCCATTAAAAAACAGATAAGAAGTCATAACACATCTTCTGAAATCAGACATTTTGATATTATATTTTTCTCGATTATTGAAATTAACCTATATCTGAGTGTTAATAAAATAATTTCTTAATACTGGCAAGTAAGCTCTTTAGCTATTCTCGTCAGAATTAGGTATTATTTCGAGACTACTTCGAGGTTACTTCATACGAACCTTGAAGGTGAAGAAATATGTGTCACTACAAGAATGTTGTTACATGCTATTAACATTGCTATTTAAAGAGATCATTGTACATTATTGTATATTATTTAGTATCTTACTTTGTACATAAAAGAATATAGAACTTTATTATTATTAACAAGTATAATTACTTTAACTTACAGATCTCCACCCTTAAGATCCTATAGAATAAACGCCCAACAGCCTTCATTCTAACGTATACCAAATTAAAGATACAATTAAATAATAATTACAGGCCAAATAATACAATTACGAGGTAACACGTGATCTAAACATATTACGACATTATTCATATAGGATAAAGAAATGTTACTTTACACGAAAGTATTACTGACGTTGAAAACTTTTCCAACACTGTATATAAGAAATGATGAGATCTTAATTGATACTTATCATATGTACTATATTCCCATGTGTATATTTTATACTTTAATACACCGGATCAATATCAACTTATTAAGAATGTCCTTGGAAATAAATAAAGAATCTATTACTATGAACGATTCGGTAGAAAAACTACAACATAATTCTCTACAATTCTAGTATTTTAAAGCAAAAAAAAACAGAATATTGAAGCGGATTGTAACTTAAAATATCTTATATATACATATATTCATACATTTATTTATATTATTATCCATAAACTCAATACTTCTATACTTCCTAAACAAGCTTAAACATTGTATGGTGCAATGCTAGTTATACTTCAATAATGGACCCGCATCTTATGTAAGTGCAATAATAAAAAGTAATTATTGCGTTATAGGGCTGGAAACAATCTTAGATATTGTAAATCTAGTTTGGACTAAAATTTGAATCATATATTTCTATTCTCGCTTAAATAGAGGCACGTAATAACAAAAGCAATAGAAATAAATTCCACAAATAGATTCCAGAAATAAATTCGAAAAATTCTTATATTATTTATTCTTTAGTTGTTTTACATTTAAGGTACCATAATTTTTTTGCACCTAATTATTTAATAATAAGCTGGATTCTTCCAACCTCCAAAATATAAGTGAATAATTGATTTTTTGTTGTGAAATATAAGTTTCATGGGAACTTCCAGTACCAATATGAAACAAAGCAATTTAAGAACAGTAACCTGTTAGTATAACTCTCCTTACTGCTATAGATTAAACATTTACTTTTCTTCATTCCAACATTTTCGAAGAATCTACGCCAAAGCACAAAAATATATCACGATTTCTAATCGTTTCTGTTCTAGAAACCCATTTTCAATTCTACCAACTGATTAATTATTCGTTCAATTTAATTTATCAATGTTCTACCGATAAAACATTAACATCTGCATTGCGTTGCATTGGAAAAAATTAAATTAGAAGAAATGCCTAAATATATTTGTTTATAAGAAATTGAACTCAATTTTGACTTATCCCAAATATAGCGTATTAAATTATTGCAAGAAGTACTAATTGTTTTCTATGTTAAACTACATCAAGAGATTAGAAGAATAGCAGCGAAAGTTTTCTACATCTTTTTGCGGAGTTTTATCCCGTAAATTTATACAGATAGAGTAGTCAAATAAACGTAAAATCTCTAGTTCGTTTCGAAATACAAAACACTACAATTGAATAATTCAAATACTAAATTCAGAGGACATCAATGCTCAACATTAGGTGAGTTCATTTTTCAATCAGATCTCATTTTCATTTCGAATTTATGGTATTCACTATTGAAATTTGAATTAAAGCTAAATGAAAAAATAGTTAATTTTCCTCCAATAAACAAACAGCAGCCAAATAAAATTCGTAAAGTATATTAATCTTTATTAATAAATTTTTCTAATTGAAGAAAACCCATTAATATCTTGAAAGTCAATCCGTAATAACAATTCAAGGGGGAAGACCCAACTCTTTTTCTCAATATCAAGACAATAGTAAATTGGTGTATAATAATAAAATCTAGCCATGGTCAGCCCAGTGAGAAGGTTGAAAAAAACATCAGCATGGTAATTAAATAAAACAAGAAAGTGAAAGTTAAGATACAATTCTACGATGCTAACAATGTCATAGCAAGATAAGAATTAAAGAGGGAAGGGTTTATTATTACAACCTCTAAAAATAGTGCTTTTATTTAATTCAATAGTATATTGTAAAACGTATATTATCTGAAAAATGCAAAATTGCTTTTTCCCTCTTTTTTACAAAGGAAATTCTATCACGCTTTAAATTTTTTTGCTATGTTTTTAACATAGAAAGAGGGAAAAAATATTACCTTACTTTCCTATCTTTACTACATTATTAATATACTTAAGGAAACCTGGAACTTCTGATTAGCAATTCTATTATCTTGTTGAATAATTCCCAAAAAACATAACAGTTGAAAGGTAGAAGCAATCAGAAATACATGATTACTTTTTTTCTTATTAAAATAGAAAATCAAAATAATAACAGATATTAAGATAGAACTAAAAAGGAAATTGAAACATTTTTTCTTTTGTAAATCTCTAAATTAGGTAAATGATTTTATGATTGCCAAAAAAATACTGCAACCTGCCCCTACTTGTAAGTTAACAACATTAGAAAAACAAGGAATAAGGGATCTCATAGTCACAAATTTGTTATTTCTTTTTTTCAAAATTTGTTCTGCAATTATTTTCTATCTGTCAAATGTGTCATTTTTCAAGAATATTTCCGCTAGCATAATAAAATCAGCAGACACTTCTCTTTTATTAAAAGTGAGGAGAATTAACCCTTCTTTCCGTTCATTTTCATATTAGAAGATTCCAAAAGGATACCCTGTAATCTTGTTACAGCTAATTTGTTTTTAGAGGGGTCTAGAAATGTGATCTAGTCCAGAATAACCGGTGACGAATATTGACAAACATTTCAACTTCCTAAAAAGTTTCATTCATCATTTTTTGGTTTTCATTGGTAGAAGTTACCTGCCTTTCAAACACCAGTTAGAGTGCAATCGCTGCTGAACTAGGGATAGACGAATTTGAATTTCAAAAAGAAACGTACTCTATGCGTGCGTTTGTCGTATTGAGATATTAAGATATCATTTACTTTTCTTTGGTTTCCAATATCAGATTTGGAACGGGAAAAATTCTTTAATTCAAAATACTTTTTAAACACCCTGGTATGATTTATTTCTTTTTGATGTAATTTTATTCAGTCTCTTAGATATTTCAGCCAGACATTTTTAAATTTTATAGGTCTTAAAGATAAATTATGTTGAGGTTAACTACTTCGTAAAACTCCCAAACCAAAAGCTTTACCAAATTCCTTTGGGTAACTACTCTCAATATTCCCCTCTTTCATACAGGCATATATCTTTTAGGCCTATCACTCTGAATTGCTTGAAGTTTTTGCTCGTACTATTAATATTGATAAATAATCTAAAGGAAAAAGCAACTAAATTATTAGATACATGGAATTGAACAAAAATTTTCGAAATGATACTTCTTTTAAAAGATCTGTCACTTCCAAAAACTGAAATACTAAAATAGACCTAGTTCAATCCTTTTCATTGGGGAATTTTCCGAACTATAAAATTCTTTAAAACTTTAGAAATGTGTCCAAAAACGTTCAATTAAAGGGAAAGTCTGCAATATTGCTTTTCAATAAACTAATGTAGCATAAAATTTGGGGTACTGATTTCTTATCCTTATTTCTTAATTCTGTTATTAAATTTCTACACTATTCCAGTTTTGCCCCCTCCTCATTAGGTTTACTGTCAAACTTGAATGAAATTTAAAGCAAAGCAAAAAGCCTGACTTGAAATGTTTTGGCTGAAATCTTTTTTCTTTTTTACTGCAAAATGTCTAAAAAGAGTCAATAAAAGAAAAGAGGTATATTGTATTGAAATGGCTTATAACAAAGAGGGAAGAAAAATATACCTCACAGGTCTATTTTTTTTGTACGTACATATATAGTTAAAAATTTTTAATAGTTTCTCTAGTCTAAGAAAGACAAGCAACACTTAAACATTATATAGATTACTTCTTTATTTATATTGACCCAATTAATAAATTAAGTATTCAAATGTTAGAAAAAGTTTCCCTCTTCGAAACGTATTCTGTTTCCCTACTAACTGTATTATTTATAGTGAGAGTTACTTATAACGCAATTAGAGAATTAACTATGTTACTTGGAATAGGTTAAAAAAGGACACGTTTTCGTAAAACTTGATTGAGCTTTTAAATAAAATTTTAGAAATCTGACCCTTTCAGTTTAAACATCAATTTAGTAGGCTACAAACAACTAATGTCATATATACATTAGATTTTCTTGCACATAAAGGAACAGGGACCATATGCTGTCATTTAGATCTAAATTATTGAGAGTGAAAATTTAATCTTCATAGATTTATATATTTTATTTTATATATAAGGACAGCCGAATCAACTAATAGACTGAAGATGCTTTCGGTATTTCCGTATTATTTTTAGCACTAAAAACAAAAGATAATACACCAAGCCTTAATATCTACTTAATCCGGTTCAGAATTGATAGTATAAACAAACACAAGTTCGAACGATTCTCTGAGTAAATAAATAGTTTTCGGGAGATTGATTCTTATACCCAACAAACAAGAAGAATAAGTTTGAAGATTTTAAGACATTCGAAAAATTAAAATGAATAATATTTTAACTTCGATATATCTCTTAATCTTTTTGAAATTCTGTGCGTGCGCAGGAAATTATCCAAATGGATGTACTTTGGACTCTAGGTGGAATACCTTAAACTGTTTTACTACGACTCCGTGGGCAAACAAATTCACAAGTACAAAGAATGGACCCCTCAGTTATTGGACAGACCCAAGAGGAGGAAGAGTCAAATGTAACGGGCATACTGTTTATACTCCAACTAAATGCACTGCTTCCACTACTTACCCAAGCGGATGTACTATGGACACTAGATGTGGTACGACCTTAAAATGTTATACCACAACTGCATGTAGAGAAAATTACACATATACTAAGTGTGCTTCCTGCAATTATTGGACAGACGCGTGTGGAACAAGAACTAGAAGTTGCTTGCAGACAGTTTGTACTCCAACTACATGCACTGTTTCTCCTACTTATCCAAGTGGATGTACGTTGGACACTAGATGTGGTACGACCTTAAAATGTGTATCCACAACTCCGTGTAAAGAAAGATGTCTATATCCTCCACCAGGTACATCCTGCAATTATTGGACTGGCCCATGTGGAACCAAAACTAAAAGTTGCTGGCAGACCGTTTGTACTACATCTAAATGTACTACTCCTATTGTTCACCCAAGTGGATGTACTTTGGACTCTAAATATAACACCTTAAATTGTGTATCCACAACTCAGTGTAAAGAAAAATGTTTATCTCCACCAAAGCCTACTACATCTTGCAATTATTGGACAGACCAATGTGGAACCAAAACTAAAAGTTGCTGGCAGACCGTTTGTACTACATCTAAAACAGAAACGCCAATACCTACTAAATCTAAAACAGAAACTCCAATTCAAACTTCATCTGAAATAGAAACTCCAATTCAAACTTCATCTGAAATAGAAACTCCAATTCAAACTTCATCTGAAATAGAAACTCCAGTTCAAACTTCATCTGAAATAGAAACTCCAGTTCAAACTTCATCTGAAATAGAAACTCCAATTCAAACTTCATCTGAAATAGAAACTCCAATTCAAACTTCATCTGAAATAGAATCTCCAGTTCAAACTTCATCTGAAATAGAAACTCCAATTCAAACTTCATCTGAAATAGAATCTCCAGTTCAAACTTCATCTGAAATAGAAACTCCAATTCAAAATTTCATCTGAAATAGGAACTCCCAATTCAAACTTCATCTGAAGTAGAAACTCCAATTTATACTACTACTACGAGCACTACATTTTGGACTGGCTCCTATGATACTATTTTCTCCACAATCACTACAACTGTGACTGGTACAGACAACTTAGTTACGACAGAAACAATTTATATCGTAGAAACTCCAATTAGAGCAACTTCAACAACTACATCTGATTACTGGTCAAATAGTTTCTTCAGTACTACCGCCGTAGAAACTAGAACTTTCACTGGTACAGATGACTATGAAACGACTGAGACTATTTATCAAGTTTTTATTCCAGTTTTTGTAACCACCACTACCATTTATACTGACTTCCCTGACGGGCGTATTTATGACATGGAAAACCCTACTTATTCAACAGGCATGATCATAACAACCGACGAAGATGGTGCCCCACGCGCCGTATGCGTATATTATGTGTATGTTAACGGTAAATTAAAAGCCTTCAATGGAGAAGACACTAGTAAGTTCAGCAACTCCACTGAAAATACTGAAACAAACCATGGTGACAGTATCATTGTTTAAAAAAAAATAGCCCACTTCTGATACCTCCCAAGAATATTTTTTTGAACCATTAATTATTTTCTTTTTATAAGTTTGAATGTTATGTTGTCAAACATTCAAGTAAAAGTATTCTTCGTTCTTCAAAAACAATTATATTTAAAAGTAACTATTTAGTAATATATAATATTTTTTAAAGCACTTTATTTTGTCTTATCAATATGTACTGTATTACCAATTTTCGAATACAATTGGATTACAGTTAATTAGATAGTAACCGGTATAGAAATAAAACAGCAAAAGAGATAATAATAAGCAATAATTTAGGTTTTCCAATTCTGTCAAGGGAAAATACATTTGTCTCCTTTTTGAACTTCTTTCCCCCCGGTAAGAAATACATTTTACAATAAGATAAGTTTTTACAATAAGATAAGTAAGTTTTAAGGACTTTGGCTTTCAAATATTCATACGTAGCACACTTGAATTGATTCTAATTCAACTACTCTTTGAGAGTATCAATTGCAATTAAGATATTGCTAGAAGTGGGTTTCTCTTTTAAAAAAGAACTCTAAGTTTTAGAAATATTAAAAAATAAAACAGTATTTAAAAATAAATAATTAAGCAAAATAACTAGTTCTATTTTATATAGAAAATGTTGCGGTGAATTCTTAAGAATAAAAACTGAGAAACAGCCCACCCACCCATTTCTTTTCAAACCAGAGGAAAATCAGAGAAAAGCGTTTTTATAAAAAATACAGACCCTTTAATGATAAATTTAGAATATATATATATATATATATATATATATATATATCTAATTTTTTTCTTAACAGTTGGATAACTACTTCTAAATTTCCTTACTTGAACAATGAAAAGAGGATACGTCTACAATTTCGGAAATCTTTAGTGTTCACAGATATTCAGTATCAGTAGGCTTTTCATTCATAATCATAAGTCCAGATTATATTTTAATTTCAACTTACTTGTGTCTAGAATCACTTTCAAAGGAAATTTGGCAAAAAGAAACAAGATAAACCAAAAGGATAAATACTAAATGGATCTTCGTTCATTTATTTCTTGTCAATATAAGGTTCAAAACCTCAAAATTAGAGATTCATTTATGCAGAAAAATCATAATCTGCAAATTCTATCACGACTCTGGATGAGTTCGTGATTAAACTAAGATGATTTATTTCTGTTGCACTACCATAATTCAACATACTTTAAGATGTAACAATAACAATTGAATTTTATGTGGGTAAAACATAAATAACAGTGGTAAATAAATTTGGGTTTTATCCTTTATTAGCAAATATCAACGACAACAGCAATAACAAAGCAATTTTAACGAAATGTTTTGATCGACTTTCTAAAAGAGTAAACAACAGGGTGTCGTATCTGTCGTCATTTTAAATCAAGAATTTTTGGAAGATCTAAAAAAACGGAAATTTTATATTCTATCTCTCTATGGGTTGTTTGTTTACAAGTTGAAAAATTACGTAAGTTTGATTGACCATTAGAAACGTTCTTTATTTTGCACACGATTTTAACCGTGATTAAATACCCTCCTAGGAGTTACTTTTCAATCCTATTTAATATAGAGCAGATATTACCTACTCAATCGTGTAACACATATAAAGCAAAAAAATGAAGAAGAGATATAATAGTCGATATGAAACTTCAAAATTAAGTTAGATTACAACTGATATACAGTCTAAATTTACCTATTTCCTTCTTCTTTTCTATATTTAAACAGAATTTGATAAATGGAGGAAACATAGTAGATTGAGAGTTATTAGAACTAATCAGCAATCAAAATTACAACTATGCTGCACCAACAAAAGAATACACATATTTCATTAATGTTTTTGGGAATATGAAGAAAACAGAAAGACAAGTTGTCTATTAAAGTTTTGTAATTTTCTTTTTTCTAGCAATAATAATTCGTTAGAATGGATTCAATCCAGAATGCCAAATATAAGTTTAAACAATCAAACTCTTCATTAATATTGCATTAAAAAAATATATATATTTTTCGTGTTTCTCCAATTTAATTATCTACTGAAGAATAATTAAAGATTCAGTTTCAGAGCATATAATTTAATTTGAGGGGAAGAATGTGATCCTTCTAAGAAAAAGATCCTATCCCTCCAATTGATAAGAAGAATAATAAAAGAATAACCTACATATCAATATGGAAGCTTTCATAACCTTATTTATATCTATTAAAATAAAACTACGTTCAACTATTCCTATGAAAGACTGTACAATGATAAAATGTTTAATAAGAGGTAGTTATAACGAATTCCCCATTGAAACTGGGGAAGTTAATGTGCTAAATTGGCCAATGATCAATACCGACTTTCTAAAACGATAACGACAAAGTTTTCCTTTATACATTTATTATTGGTTACTCAAAGAACTATATAAACAGATCTAATATCTTGATTATGATCGCCTAACTCTTGATAATTTCTCTATTCTTTATACCATTATCCACATATTATACATGATATAATCAGCCTGAGTATATCAAAAAGAACCACAAGATGAGAATACTTGAAAGGTTTTTCTTGCTCTGCCTTTTCCTCAATCATGTTTTGGGAAGTCCTCTTACAAAGGATCAAAAGTTGCCTAGTGATGAAGAATATTCTTTTGACCTGCATAAAAAACACACTACTATTGACGAATTTGCCGAAGGGATTGAAAAAGAATATAAGTTACAAAAAAGTGTATTTGATAATGAAGAATCTATATATCAACCTAGTATTGGATCAGGTACAGTTACCTTATCTACGATCACTTCAACTTTTACAAATGAAAATGGTGAACAAAGAACTAAAACTATTTTCATTATTTCTACTCCTAAGAGAATGACTTCGAGAAAAACTACATTACTACCAGATGCAGATTACGATCAGACTGAAACCAATACCCAACAATATATAGATCAAGATGAATATGCATCAACTATACCTATTATACAAAGATCCGAACTGAAGAAAAGATCAATATTTACAATTATCAGGCAAATGCCTGATAATGCACTATTCAAGAGAGAGCAATTAGATGAAAATTCTATCTCTGAAAGCCAATCAACATTCTTAACTGAATATACATACTCAACGATTTATACTACTGTTACACAAAGCGATGGACAACTAACAATCGAAACAACATATTTTGTATATACAAGAAGGCCTTTTACCACAACAAGTAGTAGCTACACATACTGGACAGGAACATACACCTCGACAATTAAATCAATTACTACAACATACATCGGAACAGATAAGGGAGTAACTACTGAAACCATATATATTATAGAAACACCTACCAACGCACTAACGTCCACCTCATACACCTACTGGACTGGTAGCCACTCGTCCACCTTCACTACGATCACAACTACTTTCACAGGCAGTGATGGAGAGGAAACAACTGAAACGATCTACGTCGTGGAAACACCTACCAATGGACTAACATCCACCTCATACACCTACTGGACTGGTAGCCACTCGTCCACCTTCACTACGATCACAACTACTTTCACAGGCAGTGATGGGGAGGAAACAACTGAAACGATCTACGTCGTGGAAACACCTACCAATGGACTAACATCCACCTCATACACCTACTGGACTGGTAGCCACTCGTCCACCTTCACTACGATCACAACTACTTTCACAGGCAGTGATGGGGAGGAAACAACTGAAACGATCTACGTCGTGGAAACACCTACCAATGGACTAACATCCACCTCATACACCTACTGGACTGGTAGCTACTCGTCCACCTTCACTACGATCACAACTACTTTCACAGGCAGTGATGGGGAGGAAACAACTGAAACGATCTACGTCGTGGAAACACCTACCAATGGACTAACATCCACCTCATACACCTACTGGACTGGTAGCCACTCGTCCACCTTCACTACGATCACAACTACTTTCACAGGCAGTGATGGAGAGGAAACAACTGAAACGATCTACGTCGTGGAAACACCTACCAATGGACTAACATCCACCTCATACACCTACTGGACTGGTAGCCACTCGTCCACCTTCACTACGATCACAACTACTTTCACAGGCAGTGATGGGGAGGAAACAACTGAAACGATCTACGTCGTGGAAACACCTACCAATGGACTAACATCCACCTCATACACCTACTGGACTGGTAGCTACTCGTCCACCTTCACTACGATCACAACTACTTTCACAGGCAGTGATGGGGAGGAAACAACTGAAACGATCTACGTCGTGGAAACACCTACCAATGGACTAACATCCACCTCATACACCTACTGGACTGGTAGCCACTCGTCCACCTTCACTACGATCACAACTACTTTCACAGGCAGTGATGGGGAGGAAACAACTGAAACGATCTACGTCGTGGAAACACCTACCAATGGACTAACATCCACCTCATACACCTACTGGACTGGTAGCCACTCGTCCACCTTCACTACGATCACAACTACTTTCACAGGCAGTGATGGGGAGGAAACAACTGAAACGATCTACGTCGTGGAAACACCTACCAATGGACTAACATCCACCTCATACACCTACTGGACTGGTAGCTACTCGTCCACCTTCACTACGATCACAACTACTTTCACAGGCAGTGATGGGGAGGAAACAACTGAAACGATCTACGTCGTGGAAACACCTACCAATGGACTAACATCCACCTCATACACCTACTGGACTGGTAGCCACTCGTCCACCTTCACTACGATCACAACTACTTTCACAGGCAGTGATGGAGAGGAAACAACTGAAACGATCTACGTCGTGGAAACACCAACGACATTATCTTCAACCAGTGAATCAAAATCTTCGGAAGAAATATCGAAGTCCTCTATTTACAGTAGTATTATTTCCACTAACTCAAGATCTCTGGTCAGTACCACTAATTCCCAAACCAAAACTGAATCGATACAAACAAATACCAACTCCAACACTGAATCAATGACTGGTTCTGTTAACACCAACACTAACACCAACACCAACACCAACACTGAATCTATGACTGGTTCTGTTAACACCAACACTAACACCAACACTGAATCTATGACTGGTTCTGTTAACACCAACACCAACTCCAACACTGAATCAATGACTGGTTCTGTTAACACCAACACCAACACCAACACTGAATCAATGACTGGTTCTGTTAACACCAACACCAACTCCAACACCAACACTGAATCTATGACTGGTTCTGTTAACACCAACACCAACACCAACACTGAATCAATGACTGGTTCTGTTAACACCAACACCAACACCAACACTGAATCAATGACTGGTTCTGTTAACACCAATACCAACACCAACACTGAATCAATGACTGGTTCTGTTAACACCAACACCAACTCCAACACTGAATCAATGACTGGTTCTGTTAACACCAACACTAACACCAACACTGAATCTATGACTGGTTCTGTTAACACCAACACCAACACCAACACTGAATCAATGACTGGTTCTGTTAACACCAACACCAACTCCAACACTGAATCAATGACTGGTTCTGTTAACACCAACACCAACACCAACACTGAATCAATGACTGGTTCTGTTAACACCAACACCAACACCAACACCAACACTGAATCAATGACTGGTTCTGTTAACACCAACACCAACTCCAACACTGAATCAATGACTGGTTCTGTTAACACCAACACCAACACTGAATCAATGACTGGTTCTGTTAACACCAACACTAACTCCAACACTGAATCTATGACTGGTTCTGTTAACACCAACACCAACACCAACACTGAATCAATGACTGGTTCTGTTAACACCAATACCAACACCAACTCCAACACTGAATCAATGACTGGTTCTGTTAACACCAACACCAACTCCAACACTGAATCAATGACTGGTTCTGTTAACACCAACTCCAACACCAACACTGAATCAATGACTGGTTCTGTTAACACCAATACCAACACCAACACTGAATCAATGACTGGTTCTGTTAACACCAACACCAACTCCAACACTGAATCAATGACTGGTTCTGTTAACACCAACACT